TAGAATTAATGCAGCATTGACAACTAACCTAGTCATAATCTGGATCCAGCAGCAACGGAAAACCATGCTAGTGATATTCCGAATCCATCGGCAACTGACAACCATGCTAGTGATATTCTGGATCCATCGGCAATTGACAACCATGCTAGAGATATTCCGGATCCATCGGCAACTGACAACCATGCTAGTGATATTGAGGATTCATCAGTCACTGACAACCTTGTTAGTGATATTCCAGATCCATCAGCAGCTTACAACCTTGTTAGTGATATTCCAGATCCATCAGTCGCTGACAACCTTGCTAGAAATATTCCAGATCCATCAATTGCTGACAACCATGCTTGTGATATTCCGGACTCATCAGCAACTGACAACCAAGCTATTCATATCTGGATTCATCAGCAGCTGACAACCATTCTCCGAATATATTCATGCTAGTGATGTACCGGATCTATCAGCATCAGCAACTGACAACCATTCTCCGAATATATTCATGCTAGTGATGTACCGGATCTATCAGCATCAGCAACTGACAACCAAGATAGTGATATTCCGTATTCATCGGCAACTGACAACCATGCTAGTAATATTTCGAATCCATCAGCAACTGACAACCATGCTAATGATATTCCGGATCCATCGACAACTGACAACCATGCTAGTGATATTTCGAATACATCGGCAACTGACAACCATGCCAGTGATACATTCTCTACTGAAAACCATGCTACTGATCTACCACCCATTAACAACCAAGAATATGTTATACCGGAACCATCGGCAGTGTCATCGAACCAGTAGTATTAATTGCAGCATTGACACCTAACCTAGTCATAACCCGGATTCAGCAGCAAAGGACAACCATGCTAGTGATATTCCGTATTCATCGGCAACTGACAACCATGCTAGTGATATTCCGGATCCATCGACAACTGACAACCATGCTTGTGATATTTCGAATACATCGGCAAATGACAACCATGATGGTGATATTCCGGCTCCATCTGCAACTGACAGCCATGCTAATGATATTTCGAATCCATCGGCAATTGACAACCGTGCTAGTGATATTAAGGATCCATCAGCAACTTACAACCATGTTAGTGATATTCCAGATCCATCAGTGATAAAAAAAATCCCACGACGGACAAATAAAAAAATATGTCATATGACCAAAGTGTGTCAAGTTCTACCCCTGTCTTGAACAAAGGTCACTTGCAAAAAATTTAAAAAAAATATTAGCCATATACCTATTTTTCTCCAATCTGTTAAGAATTAACGAAAATTAGCAATGATATTCATCATACATACGTCTTTGATCAATTCATTTAATACAAGAGGCTGCCAAATTACAGCAATCCCAGTTAAATGTCATCATAAACAATTTTAACCGCCATTTCGTCACCAGTAACAACATATAAAAATATGAAAGCATTGGTTGAACGGTTCTCATGCTATTGCACAGAAACAGGTATTGTCGATAGCCCCTCGCACTACCCAAAATCAATAACCTGATTTTGGTCGGAAAACTCTGTTAAAACTTGAATCTTGGGCATAGTGATTCTATAGATTGTGAAAAGAAGTTTTCTTATAAAATTTTGTATGACAACTTCCCCCTGAAATTTTTTCACTCAGTCACGTTGCAAAATCCCGAAAGATTTAAAACCTAATGGAATTTTCCTTAAATAGTTTAACAATAATTTTTCCTTGTGTTCAGGACATATATTTCAATGATTGCTTAGGTGGCGACCATTTGGTTTTTTGGGGGGAGAGGGCAGAAGGATTCTGAAAATAAATTCCAAGGCCTGGTAAAAAAAAAATATTTGCGTTGCAACAGATGAAAATAAATTATCAACCCCGGACACCCCTCCCCTCCGAATGTCAAATGGTCGTCCCCTAAACATTGCTGTTAAAGACGATTTAAAAAATAAAAATAAAATGAAATGAAACGTTTAGTCAAATTTGCATTCAAGTATTGTTTGATTGAATTTTTTTGCACGTAGAGTGACAAATATTTCATGTATGTTATGAGCGAGTATTTAGCTGATATATCTGTATTATGGTAAAATCTCCAGAAGCTGGGGAAGCACCATCTATAAATAGTTTACATAATCCCTGGGTTAGTGCCCAATTTCACCACAGTATCTAAAAGAGCAAACGAAAGTTGAGACTTGACCGCTTTGCAATGAAATACTATTACCTTCCGAGCAATATCTCCTTGTTTGTCAAATCCCCTGCCATGTAAATCATTAATACTGTAAATTTGACCAAGAAATAAGGTTGCAATGCTCTCGGGTAAAGTGGACTTTTAGAAGGATAATATTATATAGTCTGTATAATGTTATTTTATAGTTTGTTTAATGTTTTTTAAAAAATGGGTGGATTTTGATAAGAGATTGAAATATTGTATGGACAACTGTCTATTGTTGATTTCATTCTAGATGTCTTTTGGTTGTATTTGTCGTTTGCTTATTGTCTTTCTGGTGATTACCCATATCTCTTGTTATCCATTTTGCATGATGACCTGTCGAGCTTAATATATACCTACAACTTTGTACCATATTTTAATTATACATTTGTATGTTAAGAAGCATTGTAATTATGGATATTGAATACTGTTTTTCTACTTTTATTCTACTTTAATGGACGGGGCTTGACGATTAAAAAGGTATTAACCTTATTTTTACATGGTTGGACACGCATAGTACAGTATATACCTCAACATATTAATTTGATTCAATAAATATTCTTATTCTTATTATACCCCATAGACACACCAATCGCAATTTGTCAATAAATGTCAGATCAATCTTTTTAATTTTAGTACATTATTTTCAATCTACGTGAATGTTTAAAATGTTTAATAAAACCTTACTATTGGTGTAATCCATCTGTTTACTAACTTCTTACTATTAATAACGGAATTCAAATTCCGGACACTAAAGCTTAGAAATGACTGTTTTTGATTTTGTAACCTACATAACTTTGAGTTGATTTGTAGGGAAAACGATCAGTATTTATTCTTCCATAGTTGACAATACTAACATTTTCTAAATTTATCACCTTTTAAATTAAAAAACTAGACAAAACAGTCACGTATGTGTGATATTAGTACTTGATTATTCTGTTTTAGAAATTGAAGTCAAATGGTAGCATGACCATCCAAGTTCGAACGGAGCGTGTTTATGGTATCCATGCCCACCGTCATTTTACATCAAATTTATGAAAATTTGGAAGCCTTTTCGAATAATTCTCAAGAAAATATTGTAATGTGTTTCAAAATTTATATTGTAAATATACACACTGCAGTTATTCTTAAATAAATTAAAAAAATATATTATACCCTTACATCCAATCACAGCGCTCCTAAGTTGACTTCCTTCACCTTCCTTTACACGAAAGGCCAACTTAAAGCCAGGAAAATGTAATACTACTTTTTTTCCCTGAAAATACATTTGCTTTATATTTTTGCTAATTTGAATCAAATTGATATATTTAATTGCATTTGTGTTTTCTGTTTCTGTCTTTTTTGGCATGATCTTTTTACTTATTAACTAAAACTGTATGCTGTACAATATTTTGTAAATAATGATGAATTGAATCCTTTGAAATCGTTGTGTAATTAAGTTCATTAGGAGGCTTTACATATTGAAATACACATTTTACATTTAACTCTTTTATCAGCATTCAAAGGATGTTGTTCTAGTAATCCGATAAAAGAAGAGACATATATAGCCGGTACAAATATTCAGTTGAGAGAGATCATCTGTTTTTAGACGATTATAAATTTCCGGATTAGGAATTTTCAAAATCATATATTATATGACGCGTTTCCGTGTTTTGTATTTATGCAAACATCCTACGTGTACTTTTCAAACTGTATTACTTCTTTAAGTAGCAAATCAATTTTGTAGGACATTCCGACACCAAAGGCATTTCTTCCTAAAATCATAAATTTTTTAAATTAAGTGCATCTGATGTGCATTACCCTATTTCAAAAATGCTCCAAATTCATTCCATTAGAACTTTTGGCAATTACCTTATATTAATGCAACCTATGTGTGTTGCTCACAAGTCTTCAGAGTTTTGTTGCCTGCTGCTGGTCTCATCGTCTTTTTGCAATGGTGTTCTCCTTTTTTTTATTTCGCGATTTATGGCTTTTGATTGCCCTCTTGGAATCTTCTTTTTTAAGCCTAAAGATTTAAAATTGAAAATTACTAGATATTGTAACTGTATTAAATTGTGAGACTTAAGTGCATGTGTTGCTGGTATAAACATTCAATTTGCATCGTGTGTCAAGGCGTTTATTTTTATAGACCTTCAAAAACAGACACCTGAAGCTTTTATCCATGTTGGAAAGTGTTTATGTTAATGATATTATGAATGTACATCATATTTTCCAAACAAAGCCTAAACAGACACACTTACATAATTCACAATAAACGATAAAATAAAGTAATATCACTGTCTAATATGTACTGAAAAAGGCAAGCTTCAAGAAACATTATTTTTCAGACGTATACCTTTATGCCTGTCATAACCAAGGGAAGAATCTTGAATTAGTGTTTTTTTCTGTTTTATTTGTTTATAAATTATTGTTTTTTATTCAAATAAGGCTTTGGATAGTCTCTTTTGTTTTGTTCAAACTTGACTTTTTTTGTGGCTTGCTTCAAGGTATGAGCCTCTGCCAATTGCTAGTAGTTGAACGTTACCGTGTAAATCATAAGGCAAGAAATATTCACAAGCTATTACGAAAAAAAAAAGTTTTAACAACAACTCCACTGAAAACCGAGGGGAAAGCCCGGGAAACAGGTGCTCCGGAGAGGTAAACATTTTCTGTTCCAACAGTAGCAATCTGTTTTCATCTGTTTGTTTTTCAATTTCAGATGATATTCGTTTATTTAAAGTGAAGAAGGTATAATTCTACACGATTATTTCACAAGCTACGTAGAACTACAAACTGTGTTCATATCCGTGACGTACTAATAGTTATTGTAAGAATCTCAGTGGTTGAAATTCAAGATAATTAAGAAATGAGTAGATATTTTAAACATTTTACAATTGGCATCATCGCTATTTTGGTTGTATGCCTAATATTCAGACATTACGTGTTCGACGCCGGATAAAACACCCCGATCAGCGCATAGAAAGCGACCATTACACAATGACAGCAATATAGCTTTGGTACTAGAAGCAGCATTACAGATAACAGATCGACCTGTCATGATAACAATAGTAAATGATGGATACGTCAACTTAGTCAAAAGCTGGATATGCAATACGAAACACATGGGATTTCATAAGCAGGTAGCAAATACACTTCAATATGTTGAACTGAAATATTAAAAAGTTCAATTTATTTTAATTGGTCTTTTTTTAAATTGATTATCAGTTTTTACGATAGCTTCAAAGCTATGGTTGGTCGCTGAGCTCACTGGAGACAAATTTGAATGTAAGCTACCTACTAACTAACCTAGGAATAATCAAAATTATTATATTTCCCTTATTTAATTGCTTGTGTTTCTTGACCTACGATATAGAAGATTTAAACAAGTTTTATAAGCTGTGGCCTAGATACTTTATTTTGCACACTTTAACTTAGAACACCAAACTCTAAACATGCATGAATAAATCTTTTCGCTGACTCTTAGCTTAAGCAAAACTTAAAATCTAAGTCTGCATTACAATAGTATATTATCCAACAATAGTGTGGCTTGGAAAATGATGTAATGATTTCTTGTGTACACTGTCCTCAGAGGCAAACCGTTTGTAAGGGAACTGCAAGTATAACAATAGGCCTATTTGGTTGACTGCTCTAGGAACCTTTGATTAGACGAAAAAATTAATGTCCAACTCAGGACGGTTTAAATATTTTCATGCACTTGTTTCTTGGAAACGTTTAAACCACCGAAAGTGAACTTTACTTAGATCTTATGTTAAAACATGACGGATTTTTTATTTTTCAAGAGCCTACTTTTCCTAAAAGATTTAATCAAATATTTATGTACAATGTATATTTACAGATCATAACAATAGTGACAAGTCCTCAAGTTACTGATGAGATAAAGAAACTATCACCAGATGTCACTGTTGTTGCTTTGGAAGTGGATCAATCTATGAATGGACACCAAAAATATAGCCATGTTGGATATCTCAAAATCATGGTACTCAGAACTCAGATACAATTCGCCTTACTTCAGAATGATATTGAAGTATATTCTTTTGAATGTGACTCCGTATTTTTGGCAAACCCGTTGCCTAAGCTCAGAGCACATTCTGGTGAGCATGATATTGTGTTTATCAGTAACTACCAGCAACCAAAGACAATCAATGGTGGATTCCTGTACCTTTTCCCAACCCCGGCAACAAAGGCAACATTTGAACAGCTGAACAGAATGATGCTTAAACTATTTTCAAAAATTAGGAATCAACCATCAGATAAATTTATACCAACGTATGAAAATGATCAGGTTTATCTGTCGACTCTAGTTACAGAGAAATATGCAGGTCTTAAATCTACGATTTTGCCCTTTTCCATATTTTCAGACGGGAAATGGTACGACATTTCTGAGGAGGAAAGAAAACTGACTTATCCATTTTTAATACATAATAACTGGATAGTGGGTAATAAAGCGAAGGAAGGAAGGGCTAAAAAGTGGAAACATTGGTTTTTAAAAGATGATGGTTCGTGCGATTTCAATTGGGTAAAGGAAGTTACTAAAAAAATAATTTACTAGATTTTATCAGTTTTTTTCATAAACGCCATTCAGGACATCAAGTGTATTACGATTTTACAGTATGTTTACAAGAATGTAAATAAAAGATTTCTAACTAAATGTGTCTTTAAGGTAAACTGAATGTTCAGAGTGTGGGGGTGGGGGGGGGGGGGGGGGGTGGGGGGTACCCGGTATGTCACATAGTCCAAACTTAACATATAACGTTTATATCAGTCAAACATGTATAATACTTTAGAAAGTCCTAACAATTTTCATGCAAATTTCGTTCTTAATGCTATTTCTACCACCAGGCATATCATCTGATAAGTTAAGCCTTTTTCAACTGATTTTTATAGCTTGTTCTTATGTTGTACTGTTACATCACTGTCCCAGGGTAGGGGAGGGTTGAGCGCTCACAAATATGTTTAACCCCGCCTCATTTTTTGTGTGCCTGTCCCAAATCAGGAGCCTATAGTTCAGTGGTTATCGTTGGTTCATGTCTGTCATATTTGTTTTTCGTAATTTGTTTTGTTATAAATTAGGCCGTTAGTTTTCTCAGTTGAATTGTTTCATATTTTTCATGTCGGGGCCTTTTATAGCCGACTATACGGTATGGGTTTTTCTCATTGTTGAAGGCCGTTCGGTTGCCTATAATTTCTTACATCCACTTCATTTGAACTTTGGTGGATAGTTGTCTCATTGGCAATCATACCACATCTCTTTATTTTTATATAGATTGCCTAACTTGTATTTGGCAGTTGTTGCTTTTCAATGCTCTTCAACTTCGTGTTTGATTTGGCCTTCAAACTGTTATGATTCGAGTGCCACTGAAGAGTCTTATGTAGACAAAACGCCCGTCTGGCATACCAAATTATAAGCCTGGTATCTGTGATGATTTTTTTTCTTGAGTTATATTTGGTGTGTTGAATTCCTGTAAGGTGTCCGTTTGATCGTTATAGATTATCTGTGTAACATATTAGGTGTGTTGAATCCCTGTAAGGTGTCCGTTTGATCGTTATAGATTATCTGTGTAACATATTTGCTGTGTTGAATCCCTGTAAGGTGTCCGTTTGATCGTTATAAATTATCTGTGTAACATATTTGATGTGTTGAATCCCTGTAAGGTGTCCGTTTGATCGTTATAGATTATCTGTGTAACATATTTGGTGTGTTGAATCCCTATAAGGTGTCTGTTTGATCGTTATAAATTATCTGTGTAACATATTTGGTGTGTTGAATCCCTGTAAGGTCCATTTGATCGTTATAAATTATCTGTGTAACATATTTGCTGTGTTGAATCCCTGTAAGGTGTCCGTTTGATCGTTATAGATTATCTGTGTAACATATTAGGTGTGTTGAATCCCTGTTAGGTGTCCGTTTGATCGTTATAAATTATCTGTGTAACATATTTGGTGTGTTGAATCCCTGTAAGGTGTCCGTTTGATCGTTATAGATTATCTGTGTAACATATTTGGTGTGTTGAATCCCTGTAAGGTGTCCGTTTGGTCGTTATAGATTATCTGTGTAACATATTAGGTGTGTTGAATCCCTGTAAGGTGTCCGTTTGATCGTTATAGATTATCTGTGTAACATATTTGGTGTGTAGAATCCCTGTAAGGTGTCCGTTTGATCGTTATAGATTATCTGTGTAACATATTTGGTGTGTAGAATCCCTGTAAGGTGTCCGTTTGATCGTTATAGATTATCTGTGTAACATATTTGGTGTGTTGAATCCCTGTAAGGTGTCCGTTTGATCGTTATAAATTATCTGTGTAACATATTTGGTGTGTTGAATCCCTGTATGGTGTCCGTTTGATCGTTATAAATTATCTATGTAACATATTTGGTGTGTTGAATCCCTGTAAGGTGTCCGTTTGATCGTTATAAATTATCTGTGTAACATATTTGGTGTGTAGAATCCCTGTAAGGTGTCCGTTTGATCGTTATAGATTATCTGTGTAACATATTTGGTGTGTTGAATCCCTGTAAGGTGTCCGTTTGGTCGTTATAGATTATCTGTGTAACATATTAGGTGTGTTGAATCCCTGTAAGGTGTCCGTTTGATCGTTATAGATTATCTGTGTAACATATTTGGTGTGTAGAATCCCTGTAAGGTGTCCGTTTGATCGTTATAGATTATCTGTGTAACATATTTGGTGTGTTGAATCCCTGTAAGGTGTCCGTTTGATCGTTATAAATTATCTGTGTAACATATTTGGTGTGTTGAATCCCTGTAAGGTGTCCGTTTGATCGTTATAAATTATCTATGTAACATATTTGGTGTGTTGAATCCCTGTAAGGTGTCCGTTTGATCGTTATAGATTATCTGTGTAACATATTAGGTGTGTTGAATCCCTGTAAGGTGTCCGTTTGATCGTTATAGATTATCTGTGTAACATATTTGCTGTGTTGAATCCCTGTAAGGTGTCCGTTTGATCGTTATAAATTATCTGTGTAACATATTTGGTGTGTAGAATCCCTGTAAGGTGTCCGTTTGATCGTTATAGATTATCTGTGTAACATATTTGGTGTGTTGAATCCCTGTAAGGTGTCCGTTTGATCGTTATAAATTATCTGTGTATCATATTTGGTGTGTTGAATCCATGTAAGGTGTCCGTTTGATCGTTATAGATTATCTGTGTAACATATTTGGTGTGTTGAATCCCTGTAAGGTGTCCGTTTGATCGTTATAGATTATCTGTGTAACATATTTGGTGTGTTGAATCCCCGTAAGGTGTCCGTTTGATCGTTATAGATTATCTGTGTCACATATTTGGTGTATTGAATACCTATCAGGTGTCCGTTTGATCGTTATAGATTATCTGTGTAACATATTTGGTGTGTAGAATTCCTGTAAGGTGTACATGTCCGTTTGATCGCTATAGATTATCTGTGTAACATATGACTACGTATATCTTACAATTGTCGTAGTCACAATCTCGTCCTCTTTTCCTCGATTGTGACATTTCATAATGTATACTTACCATGAGCAAAAAAAAAACAGGTGGCAGGGGCAGAGCCACATGTGAAACAATTCGGATTACCATCTTGAAGCATCTGAGATAACCACCTATTTATGGTGGGGTTCGTGTTGCTCAGTCTAGTTTTCAATGTAGTGTTTTGAAGACTTTTATTTGTCTTTTCGTCGTTTTTTCGTGTTTGCAATACTGTTGTCGGTTTCTCTTCGACTTATCACATGATTGTCCCTTTCGCTTCTTCCGCCTCTTTTTTGGGCAGGTTTTAATTGACAGTTACCTTATTTGATGTTTTAGTGTACGAGATAAGGATAATTCTTAGTTTTTGTAAGTAAAAGTCCAACTTTCTTTTGACTATAGAATATATTTACTTTTGGGAGCTCAAACAGGGTTAATCTGACCTTTACCTTATTTACATGGTTCGTTGTCATCGTTTAGTTTTTGCGATTACGTCAATTTCTCAGTTACTGAAAGTAATAAATGAACTAAACTCGGCTTATATAAATATTTTAAAGTTTACATGGCCTACTGTCACGGCTCTGACCATGAACTTATTTTCATGTTTCGTTAATAATCGTTAAACTTAATTGATTATATTAGATAATGTTAATAAGTAGTATAAAAGGTAAAATAAATCAACTTTAATTCGTTTGAAGAATCCTTTTAATGTATACATGTCCGCCTGACAGGGTTTAGTAAATCTCGCCCTTACTTTTTCATGGTACATTGATCAGTTCAGATTTTCAAGTACTTTAGGTAATAGGTAAACTATATTGATATATATATATATATATATATAAAAGTCCAAATTGAAAACAACGTTCAAACCTATGATTGCGTTGGATAAAAACCGCAATTTTTATACGTGTGCATGTAAAACAAATTTCGTGGTAGAGGGGTCTAAATACAGCACAAACAACAATTACCAAAAGACCAACAAAAGTGAAAAAGTCTATTTTAACAAAACGCATTTGACTAACAGGTCGAACAACTGATGTTCCTAAACCCTGCTGACTGCCATTGGCGATTGCCAAATAAATTGATCACCAGATCTAACAAAATGGATCTTAATATTAATTTAATACCAAACAGAAAACAATAAACTTGTGGAAAAGATGGTATACCACAAACATGAGGTGCAAAAATTTGACACCATATCCGGATTTCGACAATTAATGTCTCTTCAGTGATGTTAGGGATCGAAACGGTATTTGGAAGGCCATATAATTTACCTCAATTTAGGAAACACTCTTGAATTTTAAAGAGTCGAAATAGGATGATCGGATCATATAAACCCGAAAGGAAAATATAATACAAGCCCAAACGAAAAAATATATAAAAGTCTAAATTGAAAACAACGTTCAAACCTATGATTGCGTTGGAAAAAACCCGCAATTTTTGTACGTGTGCATGTAAAACAAATTTCGTGGTAGAGGGGTCTAAATACAGCACAAACAACAATTTCCAAAAGACCAAAAAAAGTGAAAAAGTCTATTTTAACAAAACGCATTTGACTAACAGGTCGAACAACTGATGTTCTTAAACCCTGCTGACTGCCGTTGGCGATTGCCAAATAAATTGATCACCAGATCTAACAAAATGGATCTTAATATTAATTTAATACCAAACAGAAAACAATAAACTTGTGGAAAAGATGGTATACCACAAACAAGAGGTGCAAAAATTTGACACCATATCCGGATTTCGACAATTAATGTCTCTTCAGTGATGTTAGGGATCGAAACGGTATTTGGAAGGCCATATAATTTACCTCAATTTTGGAAAGACTCTTGAATTTTAAAGAGTCGAAATAGGATGAACGGATCATATAAACCCGAAGGAAAATATAATACAAGCCCAAACGAAAAAATATATAAAAGTCTAAATTGAAAACAACGTTCAAACCTATGATTGCGTTGGATAAAAACCGCAATTTTTATACGTGTGCATGTAAAACAAATTTCGTGGTAGAGGGGTCTAAATACAGCACAAACAACAATTTCCAAAAAACCAAAAAAAAGTGAAAAAGTCTATTTTAACAAAACGCATTTGACTAACAGGTCGA